CTAAATTAAATTCTGTACATGAGATAATTCTATTATTTTTTCAAATTAAATTCTGTTTACTTAGATGTTCGTGTGACGTTTGCAAATTAAATCAATGCTGGTATAGTTTTATCCCATCAAAATCTTTGTAAGTCTCTGTAAGCACGTAAACTAAGGAAATACGATGTGCACTGGACATCGAACAAAACGCAGAATCGCGTTCACACTCTGAATGTTGCGGATTATTTTCCATGATTAAAGAACATGCTTCTCTTTGTCTCTTGCTTGTCGGAAAAGAAGGTTTATCTGCAAGCAACTTGAACACCAAATTATCAACTTCGCAGTTCATTGTCATCTACCCACAAACTTGTTTTAAATGCATGCAATGCACGCTCAGTCCTAACACAGCATGGAATTGGCAGATTTTACTACCAAAAAACAGCTTTCTAACTAAGAAGTCTTGTTTTTACCGTTTGAATCGAAATTCTCCCGTCCTTATTTCCATTACAAGTGGGATGAATTGAGGTCACAGGCATGCTCTTAAAAAATCTTGTACACAGATTACAAACTATGTTTTTATTATTTTAGGGTCACACATGAAAAAGTTTGTATCAAAGATTCACTCTCCTGAAACCATGAATAATAAAGAAAATCCATCGTCTCACCCCAAAACAGGAACATACATTAATACCTCAAATGCAAAACGCCCAGCTGTGGAAACGTTTTACTCACTTCGAAAATTCGATCATTCTTTAATTTATCACATACAAGTATAACGTTGTAAAAATTATGATAATCTTTTGCATAGAGCAGTTATTTTTTTTGGGGGGGGGTGACATACATTTCCTTTTCACTGAATATTATTAAAGGGAGGGGGGATATATCCTACTGACAGTATAATAAGCATTAAATAAACTGTTTTTCATTTGTTGTCCAAATACTATATCAGAAATGTCAAACTATCATGGAATCACACTATATTTTTCTGTCAGCAACAGAAAACCTTTTTGCTATTGACCAAGTACTTAGGCAAGATGAAACTTGGTTATGGCATAGAAAGTGACAGCATTTTAACATATTGTTCAGCTAATTGTTTGTGTGTCAGTAGTAGAAAGTTGCCAAAGTAATAAATAAAGAAGTGATAAGGAAATGAACAAAACCTGCATTTCCATATCGAGGTGGCGATTCGTAAAAATACCACTTCTAGACCCCGATTGCTCAAAACTTATCCAGGATTGTACCCAATCATTCATTCTTCTTGTGTTGTGAGATTTATCTGTGTTGTTTTGCCGTTCTTTTTGTGTTGTGGCCTTACAATATCACCGCTGTTAAATTTATCTTTTGCAGATAGCAAAACAACCCAAAGCTTACCTTGCTTTCTCTAGACTTATAATTTAATGATCGTTTGATCAATTGAAACCCATCGCCTCCTGAATAACGCAATGATTTCACCAGTTTCATCAGTGATTTCACATGTTTCCCTTGAGCAGAGTCACTCTTATCATCACCAAGGATTCAAATCCCTAAAACATGCCCAAGAGATAATTCTAATATTTTTCTAAATTAAATTCTGTACATGAGATAATTCTATTATTTTTTCAAATTAAATTCTGTTTACTTAGATGTTTGTGTGACGTTTGCAAATTAAATCAATGCTGGTATAGTTTTATCCCATCAAAATCTTTGTAAGTCTCTGTAATCACGTAAACTAAGGAAATACGATGTGCACTGGACATCGAACAAAACGCAGAATCGCGTTCACACTCTGAATGTTGCGGATTATTTTCCATGATTAAAGAACATGCTTCTCTTTGTCTCTTGCTTGTCGGAAACGAAGGTTTATCTGCAAGCAACTTGAGCACCAAATTATCAACTTCGCAGTTCATTGTCATCTACCCACAAACTTGTCTTAAATGCATGCAATGCACGCTCAGTCCTAACACAGCATGGAATTGGCAGATTTTATCACCAAAAAACACTTTTCATTACAATGTCTTGTTTTGGATTGAAATGCTCCCATCCTTATCTCCTTAACGAGTGTGATTTACAATATTGAAACTATGAGCTTAAACTCGGGTTTATAGGTAGTAAGTTTGGGAATATTTTGTGTGTAGTGTACCTTGGTACGGTAATTACTGTATATAGGAGTTGGAGGTCTAGAAAATGCATCGCTGGATATACATGTATATAAAGATTTGTTTGTTAGATAAAGGATTAAAGCACATAAACACATTTCACGATGTCTTCACAAAGTCATTTACAAGAACAAGATATTGATCTTTTATTGTCAATTTCTTATTTTTTTTTCTTCTACCAAAGTTTATATCGAAAAAAGCATGTAACACCTTTTGTGAATATTGTAAATGCCGTGCCCAGTATAATAGTCTCTCTCTCTCTCTCTCTCTCTCTCTCTTACAGGGATCTTCATTAAGATTGAAAAATTAATCAACCACATACTTAATCTCGTCAATGTGATATCAGTAAAAAAAAAATGCATCGCTGACATGAACCAATTAATTGCTTCTTGAATGAACTCAGTCCGTGGTCAGAGAGGGCAATCGAGCGCCCAACACAGACACACCTATACAAAAAAATATTTCACAACCACTCAACCGTACACTTTCTGTGGTAATTCACTAACGCGAACTTAATCACACATGCACGCTCACAAACGAACACACACGCACACTAACAAATGTACACAGGCACACTCACAAATAAACAAATGCACACGCTCACTTACAAATAAACACACTCGCAAATGAACACATACACACATATTTACCAACCAACATACACTCACGCGCACACACAAACGAATACACAGACACACACACTCACAAATGAACACACACACAAATAAACAATCACAAACACACGTATAAGCACTCACGCACATAAAGGGGTCGAGTTATAATGAAAATTCAGAAAACAGGAAAATCATTTTTTAAAAATAGGAAAAAATAGGAATTTTATTGCACAAGTATAGAAAAAAAGGAATTTCTCCATAAGAGAGATGGCCTCCCAACACCCACAGAGCAATACCGGTCTAACACATCTTTACTCGTAGTAATTTAGTGTAACAACAATATTTCATCCAACAATCTTTTAAACGATAACGTCAAATACAGATGTATATGGTTAACTCTATGATCAATACTGTCAGTGTAACACATCTTTTATAACATTGAACACACATGTACATTCATACATGTAAGTTATATCTTCAAAACAATGTAAACTGTCAAAAACACCAGTATTTTAACATTTTGGGGCTTTTGATCTTATCCGTCGAACACCCATATTATTCACTAGACACTTCTTTGTCTCTACAGCTGACTGTTCTGCCGAGATGGCTCTTTCAGTCTTTATAAACAACAGTTGCCATTTGCAATTTAGAAATGTGCGGGTTTGTGACCTGCCCTTTATGTGAATCTGAGTGTATTGTGGGCTGGAACCACTTCGTAGTTAACTGTCTTTCTTATTGATGAACGTGCTGAACTTTTTTAATATTGCTATGCGATTAAACAACAATTTTGATATTTTAAATGATCAGAACAAGTTTTTATTTTCGATTAGTAATGACAACATGATTAATTTACATGTATTTGCCAAGTTCTGCTGCCGGGGTCAGATAAGCATTGCACAGGAATGTTAATAACCTTGTCTGAATTGAAACAGAAACCACTGTAAGCCATCTAATAATAAAAAGCAATAAGTGTTATTGACGAAAACACACGGTGCGACAGGAATTATCCAGCATTATGGCATTGGCAATTTACATCACTGTTACCGTGAAAACTGAGAAAAAAGATGTTGAATGGCTTCTGTCTGCGAAAATACTCTCGTTTAATTATCTGTCTCTCAAGATTTCGCATCTGCCGGACTAATGCGTCCTATGTCTAACAGAATTCGCGTGAAAAGAGTTCCGTTTTGGAATAAGACCACGTGATACTGTAGGTTACTGAGGCCGTCTCGCTTGAATCGGGTGCGGCTTGTGTCCAGCAGTCTCCCCCTGCGAATATGATTTATTTATTCTTTCGTTTAATTATTTATTTGATTGTTCGTTTGTTTGTTTGTTTAAATAAAAGAAATTAACCACAAAGGCATGGATAAATGAATAAATACAAAAATTTGTTTATTGAGAAAAATAATGTAACCCACTTTTAAATGACCTTTCATACGTTTAAGGAGATTTTATGTTTTCTTCTTTTTTTGTTAGATTTTTTTTTTCAGTTGCGTGGGAAAGAGTAAGAGACAGAGAGAGACAGACAGACAGACAGACAGACAGATAGAGACACAAAACGAGGTGTGTGTATATGCGCGTGAGAGAGAGAGAGAGAGAGTGAGAGGAAGAGAGAGAGAGAGAGATTAAGATAGGGAAAGAGAGAGCCAGATGCCTTAATACCCACATCAACTGTGGACTAATGCGATATCCTCTCTGCCTGTGCCCGGCCATTTTGTACCTTCCAAGTTCAAGGGGAGATCTGTCTATTGGCAGCCCAATGCTGGATATTCTGAAACGACAACAACCCAACAACCCGATGTTTTGGCTATTTTGAAACACCCTCAGTTCAACACTGCATATTCCAAAACAACATGCTATAAATGCATGAAACCTGTTTTTGCACAGAATGGTGTTGTAATGACTTTATGGCAGACCAAACCAAAACAGACATGTCACACTGATATATATATATGTGTGTGTGTGTGTGTGTGTGTAATATTGTAATTCACAGGGAATAAAGATTAAGAACAACGTACCCCGCCTCTCTCTCTCTCACTCTCTCATCTGTGCTCACATTACTCTAAAAAACACTATTTATTCTTATCTGATGAACGTTTAGCGTTGACGTACGGTATATTCTGTCTAAATTGTGCTAGTTGAGACTGTAATGTTGTTGTATATTCTTTCTAAATTGTGTTAATGACATGTTAGGAGTACAGCTAAATACATGAACGGTATTTATTTTTAAAAACTCTTTTTCTTTCTCTCTCCAGTCTGTAATCAAACGCAATCATTACCTCTCCGCCATGTCATCGTCCTCGCCACCCCAGCCCCAGAACTCATTGCTGTAGCCATTAACAGCTTTGAACTGTTTCTTTGTGAAGGCCAGTACTCCGCCCACCAGTTTTTTGTACGGTAATCTTGAAAATGGCAGAGGGAAATTAAAAAATAATGCACTCGAAAATAATACATTAACGTTGGTTGTGCGTTAGTGCTGTTTTGTGAATGCCATGCGTCCTCCATTTGAATAGTAGGCCCTACAGTCGTTTTAAAAAATAAATGAGCAACAGACAAACTTGAATTAGCACAATATATAGTATAAAGTTACTACTACTGCTACTGCTACTGCTACATGTACTACTACTATTAGCATTCCAAAGTTTGTGACTGAATTCTATCTCCTCCCCCGCAGTGAGTTTTTCCAAGTTTTGCATTGATAGTACTCTCTCATATCAGGGGCCACTAAACTAGTATACAAAATTAAAGTATATACATGTGCAATATTTTTAACAGGCTGCTAGAGGAACACTCTGTGGTCAGAGATTACGCATATTCACTGTGGCCAAAAAACTAGTGGTGCTGTCTATCTATATGTTAACCGTAGCCACGGGCTGTATTTTTAAGTTCGTTAACACGTCTGCGTGGTCTTTTTTCTACCCAACTTACTTATATTTGAATTTACTAACAGCAGGAGACAAATGCCTCGGACTGGTGAGGTTATAGCACCAGTACATGTTGCGGTCATCTTGTAGTAGAAGATCGACGTCATGGAAGATCACACAGTCAAAATCGAATGCCTTCTTACACTCTATAAAGGCAGCATTCATTAACCGCCCTTTATTGAAAAGTTCTGAACCGAACTGAAATGATAACGTATTGATAAAAGGCATGAAATCCAGCAAGGAATATGTCATCTACCCTCTAAACCTGAACGTTGTTCTGGGTAGACGATTTGCAAACTTCAGACAAAAAGTTTCAGAAGACGAACTACTGTTATTAGCAATCTTTTCAATTAGGTAATTGATTAGCTTGATTGATTACATTAATGAAATATATAATGAAAAATATTAACGAAGGTGATTTATGCCAAAAATATGTGTCGGTCTTCAAATGTTATTCTTTTTGTTAAAAATAAAACGTACTATTTGTGGTATACAGTACATGCAATCGCAATTTTTGGGAAAAATTACGTTTACTCATTTTTGCAACGCAAGTTAGAGAAGGCTTCTCCATATAGGCTGGGTTTTTTCAAGTTAAGTTCCGAAAAAAATATATACTGGTACATTAAAACAAATTCTTTTTCAACCCAAAAGGCGCATTCGATTACTGAAATCATGGTCTCACCTGCTCAGCTACAACAATCCTGTACTCAATCATTTGGCGTTGTAGGATTGGATGATAATGAGCCAACCAGTGGCGTAGATGCTCCGGGCGTTTCCTATACGGTATGATTATCACTACACGAGATCTGGCTATACAGGAACGTGGTTTCCAGTGACCATATTTAATGACGTCACCACGAAACTGACTATACCCTTTACCAAATCCATCCACTGATGCTTCGGTCATCTTATAGAAGGTTTTGACCTTAATTCTTCCTACTTATGAATGATAAAAACAATAAGTATAACATAAGTATTCGTCAATCCATTTAAAAAAATTCTGTTGATCTAAAATATTTGAGCACGGCTTTGGAATCATGACGTGAGGGAGGAATGCTTTGTGTCGTTAAAAAAGCCAGATGGTGAAAGTTTACTTAGATGTATTAGTCTACAAAATCATATTGACGGATTGAGGATGTTACATCCGGAGAAGTAAGACACAGCGACAGGATGTGTGGTTCACTTTCTCCGGCATACAGGAAAAAAAACATATGCAAACAAAATTCAGCAAAGGATAACTTTATATATATGTTTGTATTTGAAACTGATATCGCTGAACACAAAAAGCTTGTCACACGTAATGCTACAATTAAGCATCAATTACAGTAAACGTGAATGCTCGAATGTCATTAGTTCAAATACTATGAAAACCAGGTATAGATAGATAAACGATTAATATATCTGAATGTCATGTCTTCATTGAAATAGGTTAATTTGGCTTAATGGATTCATTTGTGGATTGATAGATAGTGGTAGAAATACAGATTATTCTTACCTAGTCCACAGGGAGATTCGGGGCAAAATGTCGTGGAGGTATTCTTGTCCTAAAAATATCGATACTGTAGATCTGCACCACCAGCGCGCAGTGTAAGTAATTAGCATTTATAGAAACAACAGTGACATGCAGAAAATAAAGGAAACGGTCAAATAATCTCTGAAACTCGATCAGGGAAGAGACGACAGAGGCACATGGTTAAAGATGCAGGCCCGTAGCCGGGGTGGAGGGTGGGGGTGGGCACAGGATTTCGAAAGAACCACCCTTTTTGCTGGGAAAAGGTCTCCTCTGGATAATTATCTAGGTATGTGAAGGTTTCATGGTAAAAGGTCCACTTTTTCAGAAAAAGAATCCCCCTTTTAAAATTGCTGGCTACGGGCTTGAGATGTTAGTTTCCGAAATATGAAAACAACGATTCAAAATTAAATTGGAGACTGTAAAAGCTTACTGATAATAGAAGTTAGTTTAAAATGAATACCTATGAATAAAACTCTGCATTTTTAATATGTTTGAATTTCACTTGAACTAAGTCTAATTTAAATGGCAATGAACAGAGGTATATTTACAATGGAGGATATTCCCCAGTAAAACAGGATACAACCTTATTAACGCTAATAAAAGAACAACCTTTGTCGGTCTTTGGCAGTCGAAGCGCGGGTTCTGGAAATTCTCCAGATTGGCTGTGGTCTCAGTCTCACTGTGGTTTTGACAAGTGTCTCCACTGCTGCACGACAACTGGTATTGCACGTGCACTACAACCAGGAGAATCACACACCCTTGAGCACAAGTTAACACCACTGTTAACCGCATCGGCTTCTTCATCTTTTTTCTCGGATTGATATGATGGTGTCTTATGTTTTCAGGTATGTTCTTCTGAAATTCGAGGCTTATGGAATACGTGCAAAGTATTTTCGAATTACTGGGTCCACGATATGACTTTGGAGATTATTTAGTTTATATTTCAGAAAACGTCTGCCACAACCGCTACGATTTCTGCCCCGTTTACTCACGGCCGTAGGTTCTGCTTTTCTGTTTCATACCTGGACTGGGTGTTAGGTATCGCACAGCATTGGGTGAAGTAAATCGACATCTTTCATCTCATTAAGTCAGGGCATATATCACTCTCTATCCTCGAGTTGCATAGTCAGTAGTCATTGCAATCTGTGTGTCCTTTTACTGTTCGACAGTAATTTCTAATATGTACTGCAAACATAGCACGGGCTCGGTATGGAAGACCCGTCCATTCCTTTGAATAATTGAGTAAGAAATGCTGTGAATTGTCAATTTACCGATATACGCTTCATCAATCTAAAATCATCCAAGCACCCTCTAGGCAGCAAACATAAGCTTTAGCATAGTTTTGTCTTGCGTAGATTTTATATGTATATTTTGGGTGTTGGAAGGAGAAAAGGAAGGGGAAAACAGGATAGAGAACGTTTTATAACGTTACCCTAACGCTAACGTAAATTTAGGTTATATTATCGTCACAGTAACGTTTTGTATTTGCTGGGAAGTACCCTCATAGCCTAGAAAGTGGCACGTACCCCCCCCTCCCTCCCATGGACCCGCAAATGGGTGTTCGGCATGCTAGGACCTTTTACATTATCAGATTAAATAATGTGGAAACATATACAGAACCATGTGACGTGATAAAGCAGTTGCATCAACAATACATCGGGGAAATTTTGCTTATTCGAGCTGATGGCGTAACAGCAGAGTTTTGGGGGTGACAACTGTCCTATCGCTATCAATCAGATCTCCCTCACGTGAACATCTAGGAGCGCCGCTTTTGCCCTTATTCAATCCAAACAAGCTTATGTTAGGAAAATTTTTTGAAAGATGCCAAATAATACCTTTAAATGGAACATCATGATAATGCGCTCATATCACCTAAAAAAAAGCGCTTGCACCAGATTGTAGTAAACGCCCTAGTCGTTGGGCATGCCAATCTAATCTAGATGCTAATATCTACAGAGTTAACCGGACTACGATCAATAATTTCACACCAATTTACCAAGCAGCAAAAGTGATTGGCCCTTGCGTAGAAACTCGTGGATGGTGAATAAAACTACAGAAAAAGGAAGTTTGTGCTTTAAATGTGTCAATTTTATTGCGCTAAGTCATAAGTCATTAAGTCATAAATGCAACGGAAAATGCTATTTTTGCCAAATTTAGACCTTTATCACGTATCAAACCCCCTCTTCACTTATACATTTCATTCAATAGGCTGTGCATATCTGCAATTACTTCATCAGTGACAGCCAAGACTTGGGCAAACCACAATGCTTTACGTAATAATACATTCCCACAGACCAACATACTCTTCATTGAAAAGGCACGTGTCTGCATCCTGAAATTCAGAGATTACCAGAAACTAACTTAACTCTTACGATGCCTCTGATAAGATCAGTTTCTGACGAAACTCTTTAAAATATAGTAAGCTAGTTAGACGTATGAGTTTAATGCGATTTTTTGTTTTACTTCTACTACTTCCTTTTCTTCTTTCTGTTATTATTATTTTCTTTTTTCCCTTTTTTGTCATAAAGCAATGCTATCGTCATGCATAGTAGCTGCATGTATGCGATTAAGAAGTAGAGTACAATTAGGCTCTTCATCTGTCTGTTCTCTCCACTAATATTCTGTTGTATTGATTTCTCAGTTTCCATAGTCTCCACAGCGCAACAGATTGTTGCACTCAAGTTTGGGATCTAATTTATTGAGCCACGACATCAATAAAACATATTTCCGAGATGTTTTGAAAGTCTTCTCGCTTTGCTCAATTCTGCGGCGTAACAAATAGCCGCGCTAAGCGACTTAGCTGTTTTACAGTGTAGATATATCGGAGATCGATGTCTGTTATATTGAGAGAAAATACTGCAGTATTTACACGCCACGCGCTGTATAAATACAGGTACAAAGTGACGGAGAATTCCAGACAAAAGTAGTTTATTCCAAATGTTGGGTTGGTATGGATGTATCTCCATAATATTAGGCCTCCTCGTTGCGACCAGAAGAGGTATTAATCTTGCGCTACGAATGCGAACGCAGGAATCTCAAGCCACCTGTGGATTCGGTTTCTGAAAGTATTCTTAAGTACGCCTTAGCTTTACAGAAGGTTCAATGACTTGAGCGTGACTTGAGCATAAACTTAATAAGCTTGCAGAGATCATGAAGCAAGGAAAATACACGCATGGCCAATGTCGTGAAGTTCTGGTATACGGAACATTCTACAGACATGTTGTTTTTTAGATAGAAGGATCCAGCCACACCAAAAACTCTACTCGTTACCGTTGAGTAGCCGGGTGTCTCTAGCAAGGTGACTACAGCTTGAAGGAGATCACCCGTCTTACAGCACCGTGAAGAATTATCAACATAAATTGACGGTTTAGGTGAGGACAAAAAAGGACTCTCGCCGAAATTTTACGACTGATTAGCAGATCGAATGATTGATTTTCCCTGGATGACAGATTTGATGAGTTTGATCCATACCATTATGTTATGCGACAGAAAAATTCACAGAAGAAACACGTGTAGGCTTTAAGAGGAGTATTAATGCCTGCTTGGCCTGAGAGGTAAGAAAATGTTGAAAACGTGAAATAAAAAATATATTGGCTGATGTACAACTAGAAGTGTGTATACAGTTATGAGCGCATGCGTCCACACCCACAATCTCGCACACTAAACGAGCAGACGCACAGACATCTTTAGACACACACACACACACACACACACACACACACACACATATATATATGGTCTATACATGCAAGCGCTCGCACACACATCTATACGCGCATTTATATGCATACACATAGTTGTGCACACGCACACATACATACATAATTTCAGTCACAGACACAACATTTAAATATTTGATGACTGTAATTAGATTGGCGCGACGTTGATGTGACAACCTCTGATTACATTAGCTGATGTATAATTGAGAACATTGAAGTCACGACAGTCTCCAGTAAGGCTAGCAGTCCTCTCGAAACATAAACGAGCTTCTCTGTTAATCGACCGCTTTCTCTCACCGACGAAAACCCATGCCATTTTGATTTACTTCCGAAGGTATTAAAACAATGCTATATACTTTTTGTAATATGTAAGCCTCAGGAATGTAGAGATGTGCACATGAAATCATTAACTGGATCCCATTGACCAAGAAGTTTCAATGCGTTCACTATATATCTGAGGGAAAAACGTTTTTATGAAAATCAGTTGATTCCCTTGTCTGGATTAGTCTATCCCTCTGTGCGAGTTGCTTATGGGCCCCGCCACAATGTTCAATTTATTCAAAAAATGGTTTTAAGTTGAATCAAATTGTTAGTTTATCTTTATCAAACTACATTACAACAGTAATAATAAATATTAGATTACATAATTATAACAATTAAAATAGATTTTCTTCGAGACAGACAAGTGTGCTATTACAGATTTATCCTGCAC